CAACTGATCTGAGAGTGCCAATTTTCAAGCAGCGACGAGCCCCAAGCCGACGTCCTACATCCAGTTTCATCCCGAGATCGCCGTCCTATTTTATTATAGCCGACCCCGCCCAGAACCACCAGTGTCTTGCTGTTGATGTGCAATATAAGGGCGTTTGACAACACAGAATGTGAAGAACACAATGTCGCTTTAAATGGTGCAGACAAACCACGATATGTTACTGTTCTAAGGGTGGAGTTCGACTGCATTTCGATCGTGGATCGAATACCACGGTGTATAGGAGACGCGAACGGTAGTAGACGAAAACACTAAGAAACATTGTTGGACACTCCTTGACGACTATTACATATTTTTTCTTCTCCATTACTGCTTGTTCATGTTTGCATTGCTCCACAAACACTTAGAAGGCAACATAATCCATTATATCATATTGCATCTTCCCTTCATAAAAACCAGGGTCTTTTTGGTACGCGATCCGGCCAACGTTCCCTTTTGGGAACATATAAATATTTCCATAACGCATGGACATATTCAGTTCAAACTTATAAACATGCTTAATTGGTCCAATACAAGCCGAAACAAAAGAAAAAAACTGCAAGAATACGCTGAATTCTTGTGACGGCCAAATTAAGGTTAAAAATTAAAAACAACACATGTAACTGGGGATACACGGCGCTCGGGGGAACTTCTACACAAACCTGCACAAAAACTGGTATACTCGGTTCAGCACCAAAATGTGTTTGTAAGTACAATACACTTTGTGATTGCTACCTTTATTGTGTCTCCTTTATTCACTTCTTTCGAAGGCAATAACCCAGTCCCACCGGGAAGATATTTCCATGTGTAGGACACGCAATAGTAGTATTCTTTTTGAAATAGAGGAAGGAAGAGGAAGAAAGGAAAGACCATCAATGAAAACTCCAATATCAAAACAATAATAATGAATTTGCAGCAACAGGACGTTGAGATCGGTCAAAGCTCGAAACTTGGTGAGCCGAATGATGTTGTTATGGGGATTGTTATGACATTGGGATTCGGAATCGGTACCAGTCTATTTCTGACGCTTCTAGAGTCCGCTCTGAAGTAGCAGCAGGGACAAAAGGCGACACCAGGGCTCACTTTTTGCCTATGCACACTGTAGCCAAGTGCCAACTTGCAAATATCATTATTATTATTTTTATTATTTATACAAAGGAGAAAGACCAAGACCTGAGTCCATTATTATTATTACTTGGTCCGCCAAGTTAAAATTGGCGCTTATCTTCTCACTTGGTTTTTTAGTGTTCTGCCTGTGCCACACGGCATGGAACCACCGATTTACCATCCGAACATAACCATTGACCATTGCATCCGATGACATGGCAGCATAAACCATCACAGAAGTTGCGATCGGTTCGTTTGAGTATTTTTGAGTGAGCTGCCGCCGACGAACACTTCCGTCAGCGCAAGAAAACACTGCAACCTCCGCTCGAGTCCGTAAAATAGGTCAGGATGTACGCATTTCAGAGCGATGGAGAATACAATTTCTGTCTACTTCCACCTGTCTGATGGCAAGAATTGTTTACCCCGGGGAGGTATAGAAAAGCTGAAAAAGCGCTTCGTGTGCTTGAATTTCAGTGCTTGCACAGTACAGCGCCTAGTTAAGGGCTATCACCAGCAAATCGCTGACGAAGAAACTGCAGCTCATGTCAATATCTCCAGTAAGTGAGACCAATCCGGCGGGCACACTTTGAAGCTTACAGAGGACAGGGCAAAGGAGCTAATCAAAGAAAACACCAAGTCCTGAGAGAAACACTCGTGCAAAGGACTTTCAGGAAACTAGCCGAAAAGCCTGGTGCACGGTTTTGTAGGTGCAGTACGAACAGGTGCTACATCAAGCGGAAGCTATCACTGCATGAACTGCGCTGCATGTAGATCTTCAAGCACCAGCGGCTCGTGTGGGTACGGGTGCTGATCAGCAAGTACGACAAGCGTAAGAGGCGATTTGAAAAAAAGGACACTGATATGGCGTTGCCTTTTTGTCTCAAACAAAGACGCATTATTGCGACGAACGGGATAACACTTACAGTCAACATGCTGGCAGTCTCACTCAGCTTCTGATGGGAAGGTGACAGGCTCGCACTGCCTTTGAGCGTGATTCAAGACGAGAAGTGGAACAAGCTGTGAAACGACCCGTGCAGCAGCTGTCCGGATCGTACCTTTTGAGCTCGTTTTGAGCGACGATGGTGGCGAGGAGAATGTGTAACTTGCTTGAATTTTCGACTGAGTTGCTTACCAACATGTAAATAATCATGTATACAGTACTTTGTGATCGTGGCTTGCTTCAAATATTCCTATTTCTTTCGTGAGACAAGTGTGAAGATAAGCGCCATATGTAACTGGGCGGACCAAGTATTATTATCATTATTACAAAATAGTGGTTGCGACTTCGGCGATGATTTTTGTAGGAATGGGTTTGCTCCCACACTGAAGCTTCCCCTATTCCGCCAACTTGAATTCACACTTGACTGACTCACAACTGCCACCTAGAGCACACGAGAAGTCCATGGAACCTTCGACTCGGCAAACCTGCAAGAAAGCACCACTCCCTGCTCAAAACACAGTGTTTCGGGGAATTCACCTCTCATCAGTGGAGCTTGAGTAGGCTGAGGAAGATTGTGCCTGAAGAGCACCACTTATATAGTGCTCTGCAGTCACAAATATCACCAGGGGTACAAACTTACAGAGACGCTTCGTTTACAGCACGACCAACACGTCGTGAACGCCAAATAGCATCGTGAGTCAGGGTCACTCCTGGACGGAGAGACCAGGCATAGAGAACAGTCGGTCATTCACAACGCCGTCACCCATCTGCGACTAGCTGGTTTGGGAGGAGTAGATCAAAGGGCAGACGTTTACAGAAATTCGCATTGAGAGAGAGAGAGAGGGAGACAGAGAGAGAGAGAAAGAGAGAGAGGGGGGGAGAGAGAGAGAAAGAGAGAGAGAGAGAGACAGAGACAGAGACAGAGACACGAGAAAAAAAAGAGAAATTCGCATTGAGAGAGAGAGAGAGGGAGACAGAGAGAGAGAGAAAGAGAGAGAGGGGGGGGAGAGAGAGAGAAAGAGAGACAGAGAGAGAGACAGAGAGAGACAGAGAGAGAGAGACAGAGAGAGAGACAGAGAGACAGAGAGACAGAAAGAGACACAGAGAGACAGAGAGACAGAGAGACAGAGAGACAGAGACAGACACAGAGACAGAGAGAGACATTGAGAGAGTGACAGAGAGAGAGCGTGACAGAGAGAGAGAGTGACAGAGAGAGAAAGACAGACACAAAGACAGAGAGACAGAGAGACATAGACTGTCGCATAGAGAGAGACACCCAGAGAGAGACACAGAGACAGAGAGAGAGAGAGAGACAGAGAGAGAGACAGAGAGAGAGAGAGACAGAGTGTAATAGTTTTACCTTGACAATTCTTGCTTGTCTTATGGTAACACCTTGTGTTCCTACTATTCTCATTCCTGCGGTTCCCGCCTTTCTTTTGCTTTATAACCTCTGGTTTGAACATCATTCGGTGAATTCTCCGATCAATCAAGTCTATACTGTTACACTGGTAACTTGAGGATGGTTGAGATCATCGTTTGCCCTTTGACGTGCCTTGTGCTCCTGGCCGCTACTGCTCTGCTATACGCCGCTTTCCGTGAGATCCGCTGCGCTCGGGACAACGTGGCTGCTACAGTTGGACGACATCAATTACCTGCTACATCAAGCTCAAGTCCTCCGGATCTAGCCCCATGTCGATCGCGTTCTCTCTCCCAGACAAGCCCGAGCGTCAAACGCGTTACCAGAGATCCGAATGTTTTCCATGGCAACCCTTCCGAGTTCAAAGAGTGGGTATTTACGGTCGAGTTAGCCTTGAAGTGCTCACCTCAAGGTGACCCGGAGAGCCAAGTTAACTTTGCGGCTAGCTACCTTGCTGGGAATGCGCGTCTTTGACTAATTTCTTCCATGGAAGCAGGTGAGCAATTTTCGGATTGGCATTCTTTGAAAAGCGCCCTAGCGCGAGTGTATGGCCCGCACTATGACAGGGAAAGAGTGCGGTTGGATATGTTCTCTATCCAACAGCGTGGGTCAATTGAATCGTACGTAACGGAGTTTTCTCGGCTAAGTTTACAGGTGCCGGAACTTGACGAACTCTCCAGAGCCTTGCTATTCGTCAACGGCCTGCACGGTAACATGCGGACCTTGGTAGTGAAGGAACACCCCACTACACTGTCAGCCGCCGTTCAGTCAGCGCTAGCAGTCGCCTCAGACAGCCGATTTCAGCGCAGACCACCACTGGCGACCGCGCCGGGATTCGCACCACCATCAGGTAGCAGAAAGCTAACAAAACTAAGCCCCGGGGAACGTGAGACATTACGAGCCCAGGGGGGGCTGCTTCGCATGTCGTCGACCAGGCCATATGGCCCAGAATTGCCCGCAGCATCGAGATCACCCAAACGGTGGACGTCAGTAAGGCCGATGCGATTACTGACGCAGCAAGAAAAGGCATCACCTGCGTGTAGTGTGTGCTCCGTTTCTACCCGTAACCGATTCGGTAGCCTCGCTGTGGAGGATGTTGACGATGATGCTGAATGCTCCGAAGCCAATTTCAAGCGAGATGTTACACCAACTATTGAGGCCCAGGTTACCAGCGTCAATGTGGAAACGGAACATGAGCTCCTGCGTGTAGAAGGCAAAATCAACGGTCGTCGCGCGCTTATGTTAATAGATTCGGGCTCGACCCATGATTTTATTGCCGAACAGTTTGCCAGCAGAGTTACCCTGCCAACCGAAATTGGCTCGGAAAACCTGAATGTCACCCTGGCTGATGGAGCATCAAGCTCGTTTCCCATGGAGACGACCCATGAATTGAAGGTTATCGTAGGCGACTTGTTATAACTTTCTTTCCTTGGCTCACAATCTGAGTAATTGTATGTTGATATCTGTTTCTATATGTGATTCTACCCAGTCAATGCACCACTGACTGGGTACACCTACTGTCCTCAGGTTGGCGCAGTCCTGAAACGGACGCACGATTCTAAGCTTTTCAACTTTTCAGATGGACATAGCATATGCAGGGCACACAATGGCATATTACTAAGTGCGAACGCGTACACGACGAGATGCACATCAACATTGCTCGGTGATACCCGCATAGCCTGGATCAACCAGTTTGAGGTTAGATCAAACAATGGGATTGCTTTTACAACCGGAACACCGGCCGACCCTCTTTCCACTCGTTTTGTGGACGTCCCAATATACGTCACTTGCGAAATACGTAAGAGAAAACCCAGTGCCAATTCTTTTTATCATTATATATAATTATAAATGAGGATTGAAGTGACTGCCATTATAATGATAGGCTATAAGGAGAAGATGGGAAATAAAGGATGGGCTGATGGGTCCAATACACACTGGTTTTGCTCAGTTTTTTTAGCACTGAGCTGTTCTGGCTACGAGTTGGATCCTAGCATAATATCGAATACACATTTCTCAAATGTCACATTATGTCATATTATAATTATGTCATCTCTTGTCAAGCTTTGTCACCTGATTCCATGAGAATATCACGTAACAATACACAGATAACTAATGCTTGCTCACGCATTTTACATCGTGCTTGCTATGCTGGGCTTGCCGCATTCATGGTACATGTACCGTAAAGGACCACACAGTGTCGCTTCCCAGCTGGGTTTTCAGCAGGCGGTGGGAATTAGATCAAGGCTGTCACGTGCAGTACGATGTACAACAACGCAGAAGTTCAGACTGGAGTGTGCACATTTCATACTGGATTGGCAAATATCGTGTACAGCAGTGCATGCGTCGGTTCAACATCGTATTTTCATTGTATAAGCCGAAGTCGCTTCACAGGTAGAACATCGACAGGAGGTGGGAATTACAGAGGGGTCGAATCAACGGTACTTTACGGTACTCTCAGGGCAGGGTCACTACCAATTTTCGTCTGATGCTCGATTCAGATCGTGAAACTCAGAGTTACGAAACCGCAACTGATTGTTCTTCTGTCTGTGTATTGCACTCTTTGGCAAATTGAGCCCCATACGGATGGTGGATGAACTGCACACGCTCTATATGTCACCTATAGTGAATCATAAGCCATCCTAGGGAGATTTATGGGACGTTTTCATGCCAAAAGAATTATCCTCTTGATCTCTAGCGTTTTCGGCCCAATCTGATCATTCGATTTTCCATTGTTCTATTTGTGCTCCAAGCTTGCCAACGTACGGCTGGAGACAGAATAACTAGTATTTCAGAGAACGGTACTGTCACATGTGAACGTGGTTATGAATACCTCCATACACAACCAGTGTGCAGTAATGCAACTACGCAAATCCATAACTGCACCAGTAAGTTTAACCTTGGTTATTGTTGATCTGTCCACGTGCATCCCCCTCCTCACTCCCTCCACTCCCCACTTCCCACTCTGTACTCTCTATTCAGACTGGAGTCCGTTAACACTTCACCATTTGCACTGAATGCCGGCATGATCTGTACTCAGCGACGTCAAAGTGTGAGACTCGGCTGGAAGCTGCAGGAACGCATCCGGAAGAACGCATCCGCAGGAACGCATCCGGAGGAACGCATATGCAGGAACGCAACCACCCTCTAGGATCAGAACGCACAAATGGTGGTGGTGGGGGGGGGGGGGGAGGGTAGTAGATGTAAATCACATCAATCCCAAAGTGGTGAAAACCGAAATCCCCAATCAACTGTGGGTTGCAGCACGGCTAGAAAAAATCATTCCGCTCCCTTCTGGAGGACTTGAACCTTGGACCGTCTGTTTCCCAATCATGGTCTTAGAGACCATCCCACTATTCCGGCCTGCAAAGAGTTGATGACGTGTGATGATATTTTTGGGCAAGGTTCCGCGGGCCTCATCTGCTTTACATGGAGCGAAGGTTGCACGAACAACTGAGATACCTCAGCTACAGAAGAGACATCACATCAAACCTGTATAGGTATTTTCTTCCTCCATTGTGGTTCTTATAGTGAAGACATTCCGCAGAAAAGGCGGTGTACTTGGTAGAAGTGTTGTCAGAACACGAGTCTTAATCATGTTGTCATTGTGAGCCTACAATCTGTAGTCTGAAGTGGATATGTGATATGACAAACCAGATTTACTTATAGCCTGTTACGTTTCTCCCATTTCATCTCCTGTCTGCAGTTGTTAAATGTAATGGCACTGGCACCTTGCGCCTGGCCACAAATTCCCAGTTGACTGTGGGTAGCACATCTAAATAGATTAACTGTAAATTCAACCAAAGAACTACAAGTTACAAGTTATTCATGACCCTCATGATGGGCCAGCCATGAAAATTTACTGGAATGTAAATTTGAATCTGAATTGCAGTGAAGAGACCATATTTGGAACTGTAAAGTGAAAGTTCCTAGACGTGCAAATGGTTGAGTTGGAGTTTGTGGACAATTAGAAAAGCTACAAGTCACGCTATTAAATTCACTAACACCACCGTTTATTTTACAATCCGCTCATGCGACAACATTGCACGACAATGACCAATGGTACTGATGGTCTACACCTAGCTGGCAATCAGCTCTAGCACGTCTTGGATGTGCACTCCAGCATTTAGAGCCACACAAGTTGAACCGGACAGTCAGTTTGGTGCTGTCTGTGTTGGATGTTGAAAACGAAGAACAGTCGACTCCACTTCTAAAGAACTCGCAATCGGCGAATTTCATGATTATGAATTTATGATGACCCGTTGTCCATGTTCCAGTTCGAATCCATGGCGTAAGTGCATTTCTGTTATAACGAATTTCAGCCATAAAGAACTACTTCTCCGGCGCCATAGTGTTCACTATAACTATAAGGAGCCTCGTCAACTGTAGATTGTATAAAATATATATTAACAACATTGCGAGGGAGGTTAGATGAACCCAACATTAGCGAGACTTAGAAGAGGCTGCATGTTCAATAATGACAAAAGAGTATACGTGCATGGACAAGAGATACGTTTGGACGGATGTGTATGAAAATAATCTTCAAATTCACCTTCTAACCTACGGTCGGAGACAAACATGAAATGCAATACGCTAAAAGTTGTGTAATGTTGCCGTTGCGGTTGTTCTGCTCCGGTCTCCAGCTATAACCTGCAATGTTACCGCTATTGGCAATGGCTCTGCTAGCAGTGCTATCATCCAATATCTAGATACTGCTTCCTACTCGTGCAACGATGGTTTTTCCCTTGTGAGCAATGGCAAGTCAATTTGCACTAAAGATGGTAATCTCGCTTCAGTGCCTTACTGTGATCCGATTAAACCTACTGGTGGTACTACTGGTGGTAATACTGATGGTACTACTGGTGGTGATACTGGTGGTAATACTGGTGGTGATACTGGTGGTAATACTGGTGGTACTACTGATGGTGATGGTGAGTGCAGGTAGATCTGTGAATGTATACGTCGGGCTCCGATTGCAGTCAAGGCTCTAATTCTAGTCACGTGCTCTGATACCAGTCACGTACTAAAAGCATTTCTCAGATACTATTCACGACGTGCCACGACTAGTTCCTTGTCCACCTGAACTCCTCCTTGGTTTCCCTTTCTCTCTCTAGCTATTCTATTATACCTTCTTGCTATTATTCACTGGTCTGGGGCTTTACATATACCCTGGAACTAGGGGTGAAAGTTGGCACCGAGATCCCGAGTTCGAGTACTCTGATTCTCTCCGATCGAATATTCGAGTATTCGAGTATCCTTCATCTCCTACATATTACACACGAGGGGCCTTAAAATCACATGATAAAACCCTGATTGAACCGAGTAGAAGTCATTTTTCCCGGGGATATTAGTTGGTTAATAGGCATAGTGGTGGCCTGCGGATGCGAACGCTAGTTTGTGTGTTTCTGAACATTCAAGCGATGCCGACGCGGATCCCGTGAATATTATTATTATTATTATTATATGAGCCGCAATCAGCGAAAACGACCCTTAGAGGTTTCGTAATATTTTCGAGAAAATGGTCGATTTGTGACGTTCAACATTTTTTTTGATCGCGCTGCGAACAGCGCGACGAGTTCTCCTTGAACTTCTTGGTTGAAGTAATTTATTTTGAAGGAGTGGTGTCGAGTGGCGACTCGAATGGTCCTTGATCTTGTTGCGATGGCTGCGGACGCCAGAGCTGTTCGCAGAGCACACACGGCAGTCATTCTGTACAGCTGGCTCGAGCCTGGTGGGGAGCGGATGCTGAAGTAGCCGCTGAAGTTCAGGGTGAGGATGAGACATTCTTTTGTTCCAACATCAATGTCGACAGCGAGGCGGAATCGCAGCCGTCATCTCCTGCTGCGATGCGGCTCAAGGTGGCCGATGACTTGTCAGAGTCGGAAGATGAGGAGTCGTCACCTGAGATAAATTCTGAGTCTGGGGCTAGTGACGGCAGCGACGTCGTGTCTTCAGCTGTGGAGGAAGAAATGGAAGACGAGATTGCGGAACGACTCCACGCAGGGTGCAGCTGCGAATATGTGGATCATTTCTCCGCACTCATCAGCTAACGTTATTCTTTGTCATTATAGCTGCTTACTGCACTACTTCAAAGCTATTCAAGCTGCCCACCCACCTTCGAATGCTGAATATTCATTATACACATTCATCGTATACATACATTGCACCAATTTGAAGTAGATCTTGTATTTTGGTGTATACACCCGTTTTGAATCGGAATATTGAACTTTTTCTTGGCTGAGGTCCTTCAGTAGATGTGTTTCAACAAATTTCCAACCAAAAAGGAATTTTGAAACTTTTGACCCTAAGGGCTGATTTCGCTGGTTGAGGCCCATATTAGTTGGTGGGTAATTTGGGCTCTCTCTACTCGTGAACAAATGTTTACCACACACTCGCACATCAATATCTGCCGACTGCTGCTCTGAAACAAACACCTGGGCGTACGTATCGACTCTGCACTTTCCTGGTCAGAGCAAGTTAATGATGTTTGTCGTCGCAGTAGCTCCACCCTTGGAGCACTCACTTTCCACTGTTCCCACCTCCCTCATAGTTGTAAAATACTTTTCTACCGTTGCTATATTTTGCCTCTGTTTGACTACGCCGACACAGCATGGTGTGATCTAAATTCAACTTTGCCCACAAAAATTGAAACGCATCATAAAAAGATAATCAAACGGTTATTTGGACTGTCTCAGTTATTCAGCAGTGCCCAATTATATTCTCGGACTGCCTTATCTGCGCTCTGTGAGCGCCGCCAAGCCCACTTATGTACTCTTGCTCATAGAATTTATCTCAAACGAATTCCACAACACTTGGAAAAATATAACTGGTTCCAGCGAGATAGACCTACTCGAAATCAAGTATCATTGCCTGCTCCTCGTTTATCTTTGTTTCTAAACTCACCTGTGTTCATGGCATATCGACTTTGGGCCTCCCTTTCCTATAGTATTCGACACGTTCCGCTTTCAACAAGGCTCTTCGCAAGTAACGTAACGCACCTCTTTCATTTTATTTTATTTATTTATTTTATTTTTTAATTTGCCTTTTTGCCCTCAGTCCTAGGTTGGGTTCACCCTCACTTCCTTGTATTGGCTATTTTCATTATGTGCCATGAAGTGCAGACAGTAAATAAATAAATATATAAACTGCAGATTTCTGGGGTAAATGCACGTACTTGGTCCGCCCAGTTAAAATTGGCGGTTGTCTTCTCACTTGGTTTTTTGGTGTTCTGCCTGTGCCACACGGCATGGAACCACCGATTCACCATCATGACATGACCATTGACCATTGCATCCGACGACATGGCAGCACAAACCATCACAGAAGTTGCGATCGGTTCGTTTGAGTCTTTTTGACGGAGCTGCCGCCGACGAACCCTTCCGTCAGCGCAAGAAAACACTGCAACCTCCGCTCGAGTCCGTAAAATAGGTCAGGATGTTCGCATTTCAGAGCGATGGAGAATACAGTTTCTGTCTACTTCCAGCTGTCTGATGGCAAGGATTGTTTACCCCGGGGAGGTATAGAAAAGCTGAAAAAGCGCTTCGCGAGCTTGAATTTCGGTGCTTGCACAGTACAACGCCTAGTGAAGGGCTATCACCAGCAAATCGCTGACGAAGAAACTGCAGCTCATGTCGATGTCTCCAGTAAGTGAGACCAATCCGGCCGACACACTTTGAAGCTCACAGAGGACAGGGCAAAGGAGCTAATAAAAGGAAACACCAAGTCCTGAGAGAAACACTCGTGCAAAGGACTTTCAGGAAACTAGCCGAAAAGCCTGGTGCACGGCGTTGTAGGTGCAGTACACACGTGCTACATCAAGCGGAAGCTATCACTGCGCTGCATGTAAAAGCACCAGCGGTTCGCGTGGGTACGGGTGCTGATCAGCAAGTACGACAAGCGCAAGAGGCGATTTGAAAAAAAGGACACTGATATGGCGTTGCCTTTTTGTCTCAAACAAAGTCGCATTATTGCGACGAACGGGGATAACACTTACAGTCAACATGCGGGCAGTCTCACTCAGCTTCTGATGGGAAGGTGACAGGCACACACTGCCTTTGAGCGTGATTCGAGCTGACGAGAAGTGGAACAAGCTATGAAACGACCCATACAGCAGCTGTCCGGATCGTACGTTTTGAGCTCTTCCTCCAGCGACGATAGTGGCGAGGAGGATGTGTAACTTGCTTGAATTTTCGACTGAGTTGCTTACTGACATGTAAATAATCATGTATACAGTGCTTTGTGATCGTGGCTTGCTTCAAATATTCGTATTTCTTTCCTGAGACAAGTGTGAAGATAAGCGCCAATTTTAACTGGGCGGACCAAGTACCATCTATGAACGAGTGCTCTGGTTTATTCCGAGTACGATTATTTTTGAAAAAAACCGAGGGAGTACTCGAGTTTTCGGTATAATTGTTTTAACCCCTACCTGGAACACATAACTATTATTATAGTTATGAGATACCAGTCCCATACAACTTATAGCTATCCGAAACTAGTCATTCAACTTATAGCTATCTGACATACTACCAGCAGGTCATTCAACTTATAGCTATCTGACATACTACCAGCAGGTCATTCAACTAGCAGCAGGTCTCACACACTAGTCACATGCTAATGTTACTTATAGTTCTCAGGCACTAGTCACAAACCCCAGTGTCGGGAGATATTATGCGGAATGTTTAGAAAAAAATAATACTACTTCAAAGTACATAATTATAGCTGTCGGATACCAGCCACACACTGCTTTTAGTTCTCGGATCCCACTTACACACACACACACACACACACACACACACACACACACACACACACACACACACACGCACACACTCCACTCACCAGTCGTTATATTGTCAGCACACCGGCTCTGGACTTGCAAAAAAACTGCAAGATGCATACTGGGCATCAAGAAGATCACATTCCCCAAGAGAGATTAGAAGGCAGCTGCCTAGAATCGATAAAGGAAACTGAATGGACATTGATGCATTTCAGTCCTGCTTGATCCGGCCTGGAAAATGTCACTGTATCAATGTGCTTGTAGCAGCTGATGGGCTGTGTAAACTTGATCCTGAGGGCCTTCCGCGGCAGATCACAACCAACGCCCAGAACGTTGCCCATAGCGGGGACGAAGTGAAGCGTCCTGCAGAGACTTTCCAGTCGGTGATTCAAACACGCATGTGTGTGTGTGTGTGTGCAGACATGGTATGGCATCAGAAAATACATTGATAAAACAAGATCCACAAGGAGCAGTAGAGTTCTTTGAGAGGATTTCCCATTTGTACATGTAGACACCCATCCATGGTCAACACAAGTATGAAGTAAGTAAAAGTGAGAAAAAAGTGTCCGTTCCCGAAGGGAACTCACGACGCCGTTAACAACCGGTAAACTTTACAAGTCTACAGTCTACAAAACAAAACATCGCAAAAAGTCAAAAGTCAAATTCTTCTGCTCTCACAAAATAACATAGCAGCTGCAACGAACTCTGCCATTTGAAATTTTGAAACACGTCACCAGTCAACACTGCACTCCTTGTCCACATTCACAACAACAAGAACATAAGTATTACTAGTACATAGCAAGGAAATTATTTCAACTCGGATGCTGAGCCAAATCATGGCGTCCTTCTCCTTTTTCACCATAATGGAAATTATTTCCTTGGTAGATGTTGCAAATCCTCCTTACAGCTGTTTTGTCCACTGACAGCATGTTTCAAACATGGAATGAAAACGTTTTTTAATCGTTGGCGTGTGGACGCGGCTTTAGATA